GCTTTGAGCATGATATAGGAACCATTTGGTCAAATTCTGTGTCCTGTATTATGTGCGAGGTCACAGTAGATAATTACCCTATGAATACATATAAATATATATATAGAGAGAGAGAAAGACATGTAGTAGCTGATCCTATAAAGTTTTAAACAATTGCTTGACTTTATTGACCACTCTAGGGATCAGTTTTGTAAGCTACAGTGTATTTTTGCCCTAGTGTAGCAAATCATTCAAGTGCGAGCCAAACTTACTTAAGTGCCTCAGTGAATTAACGCCAGAGTGATCAATATCTTACAGGCCTTGATTCTTAAGAAGAAATTTGGAGATTGTTGTTATTGACTCCAAAGAGACTAACATTTCACAACTGCTGTGTAACTTTGCAAGAACAAGACACTTGAAATATTCTCCAATATGACAGAAATAACTTTCTTTTCTTCCTCAGAATCCATGTGATGATAAGCGACACAGGGATATCTGGTCAAGAGATAAAACTTGTGACCATCTACCAAAATTTCTTGTGATAGGACCCCAGAAAACTGGTGAGAAGATGGTGAATTTAAATTACTTGAATAAAGAATGTAATCCTAAAGATATTGTATCCTTACCTTTCAGTGCTATACTTACATATTTAGTACAGAGCATAGTGAAGCAGATTCAGTTATATAGAGGTACTATATTCTGAATGCCAATGGACAGCTATAATTAACTCTTCTGTTGCTTATGGTATGGAGCAAACTGATTTGGAAAACATAGGAACTTTCTTCCAGAACTATCAAGTACTTTTAGAATACAGCCCAGATTGCTGACATGGTATTTCCATCAGAAGGCCAGGGGTTTCCCATCATAGCCTGTTTTCAGTTGCTTGTTCAGATTTAAGGGGCCTGAATAGATTCAACAACATGTCTGAATTGCACAGGCTCAAGAGGTTCAAATGGATTTTTTTTAGTTATTTTCTCTTAAACATTTTAAAGGAATTTTTTTCCAACTTTGGTTTATTTGATTTTTTTTTCCTTTTGCCTAGAATTTTGACATAACTTCCTTTTGTGAGTTCTACTGTTTCTATTATAGTTCTTAGGCCTAATTTCAGTGCAGTTATAGGAAATCAGGATAAAGTTCACTCCTGTGTCAAAAGGCTAATGCCCTGTTTTAAGGAAACATTTAAGTATCACAGTCTTTTCTTTGGCACTCTGCATAGAGGTAAATTTTATTCACAGTGAATGTGAATTATTTCATTCCACAACAATGAGAACAATGCAATTAGACACTGGAAATGAAATAGAGACAATTACCAAAACTTAGCATGCACCTATGTAAGGGATGATTTTGTGCTGATTAATTTCTCAGATGCTGAAGTAGAATCATCTATGATGACAATCGAGAGTTACGTATTTCACTGATGACATGATGCCTTCAATTACAGCATTTAATACTTTCTACTGTCTATACTGATTTCTTTTGTTAAGTGTATTGAGAGCTAAAGATGAGAAGCGCTATATAAGATTAAGTAGTAGTGGTACATTACAATTTTTATATGCTTATTTCAGATACTGATTAACAAAAGTTTTTATTGTGTTTCTGGGTTCTGAAGTCAATATATTTGTAATAAGAGTGCAGTCAAGAAAGTAAGCACAGATGTTTGTTTGTTGTTTGTAAACAAACAGTCTGCCATGAGACCCAAAGGGAAAATTACTGTTAAGACGTCTTATCCAATATCTTCACTTTGTTGAGATCCTAATTAATAATAAAATTACTTATCACTTGTCCCTTTCATTTCAGGATCTGAACACACTTTGCAAACATTAATTGATTAATTAATCCTCACAATGTCCCTCTGGGATAGCCAGTATCATTATTGACTTGCTACAGAAGATAGAAAGAGGTGGTTAAATGAGTTAGTCTAAACTCAGGTAGAAAGCAGAGTACAGTGGCATCTTAGGGTACATGCAGATGTTACACTTAGATCAACTGTACATATGTTTGGGAAATGTAGATCAGGCAAAAATAGCCCAATCTAACTTAGTTAAAATAAGGAGGTGCACTATGTACATTGGGATAACCCATTCTAATCTCACTGAAATTGTGTACATGTTTAGAGCGCATCTCTGGGGCTGGGAAAGCCCAGCCACTTGTTCCAACCTCTGAGCCATGGGGCTGTGCTTTTGTTAGCACCAGTCCCCTGATCCTGACTGAACTATTTTTAGTTCTTCAGGGCCCCGCCATTCCTGGACAGACACCATTTCTGCATGTAACCCTTGCCCCCTTCAATCCCACCAATCCTCCTTTCAGATCCATTAGTCCTGACTTAATTAGATTGTATTCCTAATGCAACTCTCAGCACTGACTGTGAGCACAAGTGGGGACCCAATCTACAATCATGAATCTTAAAGTAAGCCATGTGATCATAGATCAGGTCCTGTGAATATGTGCACATGCCCATAGATTAACCCAAGATTATTTAGAGTTCATGAGAGAGTCAATAGGTGCATCTCCATGAGATGCTTTATGCCCATTGGACTAATTCTACCGCTTATTGGTGTGGCTGGCAAAAATTGTGCTAATGCAGTGATGCACAGTAGATTTAGGCCAATGAGTATTAAGTATCACACAAAAAGCATTCATCTGCACTAATGCGCAGTAGCGCCAATTACAGCACATTAAATTTAGTACCTGTTATTACAGGTACTAAACTTAATGTGCCGTAATTATGGATCATTAATGAGTGCGTACATGTGGTCACTAAGACACTGACTCCTGATATCCAGTTAAATGTCCTAAACGTTAGGTATTCCCTCTAGAATATATATTTTAAATATTTATATATATAAGCACTTTGATGTGAAGGGCAGCATATAAATCAAACAAAGTCATAAATAATGCACTCACACACACACACACACAAGGTGCATCTACATGTGCCCCTATTGTGCCATTGTTACACCATTACTGTGCTGTGCCAATGACACCCGGTTATTTTTAGCCACTACGTGGCTGTAATGATGCACTATAGCGAGGGAGTGTGCCACTACGGCGACGTAGCTGTGGCATCACATTTTTTGCCTGCCAATGCTATGTCACCATAGCATGTTGCTATGGTGATGTATTGTCTTGTGTAGACATGACCACACATGCACACTTAACTTTTAAATATGTATATTTAAGATTATCTTTATTTGTTGCAATTTTTCATTGATTTCTCACCTAAGTCACCATAGTTGCCATCCTAATGATGACACAGTGGGAAAAAAAATCTTTAATAAAGCACAAGTTTTAAATGGCATATAATCCATGAATACAAAGGTTTTTAAAGACAATCTGCTAATGCTTGTTTAAAATCAAACATCATCTTTCATCCTCTTTGTTTCTTAATGATTCTTGCAAGAAGGCTATCCAAGATACTTACATCTACTATGCTGGAAATGGATGCTGTCTCCTGGACAAGAGTTTTTATCCTGTAACATTAAACAGTCCACAGAAGATAAAGCATAGATGACAAAGGGAATATGAGAGAAATGGAAATGGAGACCATCAATAATTATTTATGAAGCATTACATGAAGTATACAAGATTTTAAGATGAAATACATTGCTAATGTTAGGGCCACATCATTAATACTGTACATATGCATTAGTGTGTGTGTGTGTGTGTGTGTGTGCGCGTGCATGCGTATGTGTGTGTGTATACACACACACATATACATAAGCCATACATGTATATACACTTACATATATAGAAACCATAAAAATCAATAGAAACATCATGATGCATGCATGAGCACATTATCTGGATTTTTGTAAATGTGAAAGGATTACTGACTGTAGAATAAATAGGTCTACATGCATTATGTGTTTAAATTGGATATTCTGCATGCTAATACCTGCCTTTCAGCAATAGGTATTTTTCTTGTGAACATTTTTCAGTACAATTAGTCATGTGCTTGTTCAGAAATACTTGCTTAAACAAAATGTTTACAATGTTTTTTTATCCTACCTGAAAACATCATATAATCTAAAGTTTCCTTTTTCTTTAGGAACAACAGCACTTTATTTATTTCTTCTCATGCATCCTTCCATCATCAGTAATCTCCCTAGTCCAAAAACATTTGAAGAAGTTCAGTTCTTTAATGGAAACAACTACCACAAGGGAATTGACTGGTAAGAAGAATAACAAAGAAAGAAATGTTTGTTATTAGCACAGACTAAATCACATTTGAGCAATTATGGAAGTATGTTTAACACATACATAATTACCAGATAAATTTGTTAGGCTTAGCACTATCTGAGGGAATGAGAAAATAATTCATAATGATGGGATATTTATCAACTGTTACCCTTAACATTATTTATATATTATGTAATGTTGCTAACATTTAATTAAATTAACATATTAGAGAGTCCAACTGTGATGGCCTGCCTCATGTTAAGTAATACTTTCTCTGGTATGGTTTCAGCTTGACTATATTGATTTTACTTCTGCTTGTTCCTCTAACTGGACTAATGGTGAAGTCCTACTTAGCATAAGTAAGAATGTAATTATTGGCACAACCTGTCAAATGTGGACTAGTCAAAATAAAAGACACCCATTAATAAGTAAGTTTAGGTTGAGGTTTTTTCCCGTGCATTTTAATACTTTTTTTATTGTTTTCATTTAAAAAATTGTTTTGTAAACCTTTATGTTCCAAAAAGTTCTAGCAGTTCTCAAATTTAAATAAAGACTGATATTTAGGATGAATATCATAACACATATATATTTTAAGTGTTAATCCAGTTAAGCTGTTTTTATTGAACAAAACCAAACATAAAAAACGGAATATATTTTCTAGAATATAGAAGCACAACAAAACATAAAATCTCATTGAAAAGACAGGTTATCACCACAGTTACATTTAACTTAAGAGACTATTCAATTATTAGGTTCAAAATGTCATAAAAACCAAGGAAGGAGTGATGCTTCATTGCATATATTTTTTCCATACTGCATAGTAGAATGTGTGTCATGCTATTGATCTAGCAAGAGTCCTGATGCCTTTTATTAGACTGATTCATATTGTTAGCAGCAAGTTTATTAATTCTGTGTACTTTTTGTTTATTTCTGGGATATGTAGAGATTTTAAAATAACCAAAGATAAGAAAGGTTGCAAATTTACTTTTAGTATTTTATTAACCCCAGCATACACTTTGATCCATGGTCAATACAAAGGGGTATATTCAAATAGCATACAGGATAATTAACCTACAGTGACTCCACAGAAACAAACAGAAGCTATTTCTATATTGATTTTAGATATTTTCTAAATAAAAATCCATCTTGCTCTATGCAATATAAAAAGCCAGCTCATCAGCTGTTACAAATTAGAATAATTCTATTGATTAACTCAAAATAAACAAAGTTGCATAGAGAGATTCAGAAGAATAAAAATAAGCTTGTCATGTTATTTCTCTGGTTTTCTTTCTATAGAATTTTTATGGATGTCAGGGAAATATAATCCCTGCTCCGGACCTTTTACACTGTCTTAATGATACAGTAGCAACATAAAGGGGCTTTAAAAGCCATAGATCCAGCCAGTGCACAATTTCCCCATTGTAGATGGCAAGGAAGTCTGTATTCAAAGGATCCTTTTGCAAACCTGGGCAAAGAGAGCATTCTGGAGGTGGACTGACAGTCAGAAGGCACATGCTGAGTCTGCTCGTGAAGCACTGTGCAGGTTATGGAACATCATTGCTACCCAAGCTATAATGAAAGTACCTCTCCAGGACCATTTTATTAATGCCAGGGATCTCTCCAGACCTTTGAACAGCTAAGAACTGGGAAACTATAAAGATGGCTTAAACCGTCTTATCCTGTCCTCCCTTGAACCATGATTATTGTCCTTTGACTTCTCGACTCTCTCTGCCACCTGAAGACCACACTCAGGAGCACTGCAGAAAAAGGCAACCATGACCTTTGTGCATGTTACACCCTGACATGGATGTAATGTAGCTACCTTAGTGTGGACTGAATCATGCCCATAACATAATTTTCTGCAGAAAGATTTTTGGCCTGCTCTTGCTACTTCATTGGGGAAAAGGAGCATTTTTCATGGTGTAGCACCTGAGGACTGGAATCCATGTGTTTCACTGCAGTCTGCCTTCACATAGTACTGAGACATGCCCTTAGAGAAGCAGTCTCAATTCTCCCTCATGTCTTCAATGTATACATCCCTTTATTTCAGGGCTGGGAGGCTTTACATCCTAATTCATGTACATTTTTATTTTTAAATGCCCTTTTACAAAATATTTTCCAGTTTTTCAGTGAAAGATAATTATTATTATAATATCTAATGACCTCCTAATCACTCCTGAACATCATTGGTGATATAGGCACAAGAATAAAGCTGAAAACATTCTGGATTTTTGGTTCAGTGAAAAATTGAAAAACAAATACTGTTTTTTTTCAGTTGAGTAAAAACCCCAAAACAAAGAATTGGAGACTCAACCTAACCTAATACATTTCATTTGACATAAAGTAAAACATTTACAGTAAAATGTTTTGGGGTAATTAAGTTAAAGTAGGTCAGTTTTTAAAGAAATGCCATTTTTAAACAAAAATTGGGAACTTTCATTTAATCAATGTCAAAACAAAATATTTTTATTTTAAAACACACAGACAATATTTACTATTTTCAGTTTTTTCTACCATTTTATTAGGCAAAACTATTCAATGAATCCAGTCCAAATTTGTGACTAATTTCAATTCTTCCCAATATTCCATTTTTTCATAAAATTTACTGAAATTTTTATTTATCAACAATATTTTACTCAGCTTAAAGATATTAACTGTTAGCATTATTGTCACAAAGGCAACATAGCTAAAATTTTAGAATGAAACTTGTGCCCATTTTGTTTTCAATTTCTTCTGTTTTAAATTATATTTGAAGAGTAATGTTTCAACATGCCATTAAGTACAAAACATGTGCATGAAACTTTGAGATTTTTAATTTGTGTTTAATTCAAATAATATTTTCCCTGTTCCCAGGTATATGGGTTTCTTCCCCAGCCCTTCCAATGTTACAACTGACTTCTTGTTTGAGAAAAGTGCCAGCTATTTCCATTCAGAGGAAGCTCCCAAACGAGCAGCTTCCTTGATCCCCAAGGCCAAATTCATCACCATTCTCATTGACCCATCTGATCGGGCATATTCCTGGTATCAGGTAAGGACCTTGCCACTGAGAAATGGGCTATGAATTCAGAAGCAATAAGTGATAATAAACTTACATCCCATTCTTGTGAATTTCCAAAGAGTTTACCATTATGTCTTTGAGTAGGAGTAGAATTTACTGTAAAGTACATGCCACAATTTAGAAGCTGAATGAATATTGAATTACAGCCTTTTTTATTCAGCACCCACTGTGATACCAGTATCATATATAATGTAACTTTCCAGACAAATGGCTGCCTCCAGATGTAAATAATTACTTTAATCTCAATTCCAATTGACAATGTTTATATGGTAAACATTCTTTTTCACCCAATAATGTTTTGGTAAAATGAACAATTTCTTACTATGAAGGACTAATCACTTTAGATTATCGTATGTCTGACATAACTTTCAAATCTCTATTCATTAGACAACAGTGTCAGCTTGACTGGTATGCAAGTATGGCACACCATTCAAAGTTTCAAAGGAGTCAGAAAAAGAGCCATGTAGCACATTAGGACATGTTAATTTCAGTTAAAACATGAGCATGCACACTTTCCATTAGTTAAACATGTTGGTGCCATCGTATCATAGCAAAGTTATGACTTTTCAGGGAGTGGTACCTTAGGGTTGTACTAAGCAACTTGTTCAGCTGTCTTTGGAGCTGAAACAGCTATATTTTGTTCCATAGAAATAATATGAGCTCATAATTCCAGTGTGGTACAGGGACTGGGAACAACCAACAATGAGCTAATTGTTGGTCCCAAGTGCAGCATCAGACTGGAGCTGGTTCAAGACTCCCATGAGGTACCAGGACTGGGACTGACAATCACCTGATCACCATATCAGAGCCAGCTCAAGACTGGCAACAGCAAAGACCTAGCTTGCCCCATGGATCCAATGGAAGCAGCGGCACCTTGTCCTGGGCTTGGTTCCCTGGCATCATTCTGCCTGCCACTAATAGCAGTGATGTGCCTCACCCCAGCATGCCAGGGGAAGACACTCCCAGCCTGGGCTATACTCAGCATGCAGCAGGGAGGACACAGGCTGCTGGCATGTGGGTTGCATGTCCTCATGGGCATATGTGCAAGCTGTGGTGTTAGTGCTGGGGTCAGTGTCAGAAGGGACAGGGGCACAGCCAGCTCCAACCATGTCCACAATGATCTGAGATCATAGTTAGCATTACTGTGAGACTGCTCAGAACGTGTTCCAATTTTTAATACGGCATGGCAATTCTTACTAGGGCTGTGTGAAGCTTCAGTCCCTGATTTGATTCAGTGGAGATTTGGCCCAATTCAGTGGCCAAATCTCTGAATCTAAATTGAATCAGAAAGATTCAGAAAGATTTGGTGATTTAGACATAGAGACAGCTTCAAATATTTTTTCTACATACCTCTATGTAGCAGGGGCTCCTGAATGCTGTGATGCTGGGGCAGATGGAGCATCCCAGAGAAGTACAGGGGGCTCCCCAGCATGCTTGGGAGCAGACACGGAAGTGGACATAAGCACTTCTGGTCCACTTCTGGATCCACCATGGAGCATGAGGGACCCACCCCCGCCCCCCAACTCTCCCCCAGCCCAGCGACTGGTGCCTCCTGGGTCTGGGGGGGCACCTGGGGTCCCCTTGCACCTGGGATCACCGAGCTGCGAAGAGCAGGGGGCCCTCAAGCATGCTCCCTGGCAGACCTGGAAATGGACCGGAAGTATTTCCGGTCCACTTCCAGGTTTGCCGCCAAGGATGTTCCCCCCCCCCCGCCCGCTCCTGTGGGATACTCCATGCACCCTAGCATCGCAGCATTCATGAGCCATACCTGCTACCTCAAGGTATGTAGAAAAAACTTTTAAAGCTGTGTCTATGTCCAAATTGCTGATTCTTTGAATCAGCATCAAATCTTCAGATTCGGATTCAGCCTAATCGAATCAGGGACAGTGATCCGAATCAATGAATCAGATCACTGTCCCCAATTTGGTCCGAATCCTAATCAAATAGGGCCTGTTTTGCACACCCCTAAAGCTTACTACGATCTAAACAAAACACATGCTAAGTATCCCATGCTATAAGGCACTAGTCCTGAAGACTAAAGAAAACCAGTCAATTTTCCTTAACAGTGAATTGTTCCTTATTCATTTCCTAACCATCTCTTGTCCATTATGTAATCTGTATCCTTTCATAAAAGACAAATCTGGAAAGCGATGGCTTGGCTCACACACTAGTATTGTTAAAATTATGTGGAATCATACATGCAAAATTTGACAAATTTGGACAAGTAAAGCAGTCAGTAATAATGATGTAAATCAGGCAACAAAAGTTCAAGTACACTCACATAAAGTCTGGTAATAACAATATAAAGCACAAAGTTCACTGCTGCAGTTTATACCCCTTCCTACCCTGTCACTTGCACCTTCACAGAAGGGTACACAAGGTGAAAAGCAAATAATTGGTTGCACCTACATTGGCAAATGCCATGTCCACATCACAACTGCTATCATAGCTATCAAGAACATCAGCATGGTATATATCAGGATGATGTATGTATCATTAGGACATGAAGAGATATTTTGGAATAGACAAAGAATTGCCACTACCACTGTTAGGGAAAGGAGAGTAAAGAGAAACATTTGAAAATGGACTGTCCATTGTGTAACATGGAACTCTATTAGTTGAGTCATGGTAAAGCTATTGATTTGCTAAATAGTTCAGTGTTCAGGAGTTTAACCCACTATAGTATTATTTGTTTACTTTTTACTCAATTACATTTTAATTTTTCTAACTATGGTTAATTGTATCTACCTTTATTATATTAGCACCAACGATTTCATGAGGATCCCACTGCTCTGAAGTTCAATTTTTATGAAGTCATTACCTCAGACCATTGGGCTCCCTCAGAATTAAGAACTCTCCAGAAGAGATGTTTGACCCCTGGATGGTATGCTACTCATATAGAAAGATGGCTAACTCACTTTGCCACTTCACAGGTAATTCCTATCTGACCATTTCACCAAGATCACTTGGTTTTGGAAGCCACAACCTGAAATCTCAACGTGTGACGTTACCTTATATAATTTTGTGATTTGAGCTATTTGGAAATTCTCCAAAGCAACATTTCCTTTTTGTTAGAAAATGTAAATCTACCAAAAGACAAAATGTTTGTTGGAAATGTGGTGATGTTGTTAGACTTTTTGCAGTCTTGTCCAGTTTGTGGGTTGTCTCAGAATCTTTTTCCGTGTTTCCTGTAAAAGTGCTTTTAGGATTTCCCATCTCCCAGCCATGCTGTCTAGATCCTGACTGTCCTGGAAGTTATTGAAATCCAGGCTTGAGCCAGAACTTTTAGGGGTACTTGACTTCCTGCTCTGCATCAGGTAGCCTAGGAATACTGGAAACCTTGATTTGATGTTAAAGCTACCAGGCTTCTTCTAGGATGAGATAGGTATTACCGTGGTTTGGCAGCTCTAAACTTTTTAGTAACCCATGGGGCAGGCAGTTACAACTTGAGAAGCCTTTAAAACCACACTTTTTAAATGAGAATTTTGAACACCCCTGTTCCCTAAGAAATTTCAAAATTGCTGATGCAGCACTTTAAAAAAAATCTTGTAAAATAGATTAAAACCTGTCTTTGATATTTTTAATAATTGCATTGAGAAATTTTCCAAGAAAACTCTATATGCCCATAAATCTACAGACAAATCATTGTATGATAAGCTACCTATTTTTAGCTACAGAAGTTCAGAACATATTAATTCACTACATACCTCTAACTACTTCTTACTAGTATGTTTTCTAAACCATACCTTCTGCCTGTACAAGGAAACAAGGATGTGGAAAGCAAATGGAGTGCAATAAATAACCTGTCAGTCTGGGCCAGGACTTATGGAGACCATGGTGAAACTGGTCAGGGCAGAATTTGCTTGCTTACTCTAGAAAACATAAGAGACCAATAAGTTATGTCTCTGTCCACAACTGGGCATTCCATATCATCCCACACTGGCCTTGATTCACAACTGCTACTGTCCTACAGCTGAAATAGCTCTTGTAAGATGTCAGATGTGTTCCCAAACTGGGAGACTCAGGTTAGAAAGAACACTGTACAGCAAATTATTGTTTTGGGGTTTTTTTCAATATTTGGTCTACCTGTGGGAGAGGAAGACCAGATTGGCCCATGAGTTTCAGAACTTGCTTAAGATGCTAGGATGTAGTACACCAAGGGATCTCAATTTGTCCCCATTCGTTCATAAGTCTGGGCCCTTTCCTAAGATGTGTTAAGGTTTCTCTTTCCCTTCTGCAGTAGTTAATTTTAACACAGAGAAAAATAATAACAATAATAACAGCACAGACCCTGTTATTAAACATGAAGGTCTAATGTACCTTGACATATTTCTTGTAAAACTGGCTATTGCTCATGTGGCATAGTTGTAGTGATTAAGTTTACAAGATACAAAGTGCACTTATTCTTAATAACATACACTGAGAAAGTGCACTTATTACACTTGCTAATGTGTACTCAGCAATGTGCACTCATTCTTAATACCATGCACTCAAAATGTTAATAATTTATAATCAGACCTCACAATAAATATAGAAAACATCCATCCAAGCCAACTAGTATCAGTGTAACACTTTGCACTGTCCTTATAGCTTTCATATGTACAGTTAACAGCCAGAGGATACATCTATATGTGTGCTTTACTGTGAAGTAGACTAATTAACTCCGCAATAAAGTGTCACTGTCTACATGTGCTCTGGTATTAGGGCACAGTAAACTAAATAACTCTACCATAAGATACTACTGTTGGAGACAGTACTATCTTATGGCTGAGTCATTTACTGTGATCTAACACTCGTGTAGACAGTAACCACATGGGGAAATTGAGCCTGGTCAGCCCAGGCAACTAGGGGCCAGACCCCTACCTGTTACCTAGTCACATGGCATTCTCATGTCCCAGCCAGCCCCTCCACTGCCAGACGCCACCACCCAGAGCCTGGAGATAAACCCCCTGAGCCTGCTGCCAACATGGGCCTGCTCTATCCTGGCTCAAATTATTGCTGTGCCAGGCGCCCGTGTAGATAGATGCTGTGCCAAGGAGCAGTGCATTCCAACTCAAAGTGGTCTGGAGTTTATTTCTTCACATTAATTGCATGTGTAGAAGTACCCAGTGGCAGGGAAAGCCACTTAGCTTGTCTTCATACCTGTTTCTGTTAACAAAGTATGCAAGGTCCCTTTTTATTTTATTTTTTAAACTGTTTTGGGAGAAAGCAGTTTCCTTCAGTTGTTAGATGCAAATCTAAATAGAGCCAACATGATTCTACATGACAAGCAATTAAACCTAAACAGAGTTAAGTTGCTTGACTGTTACTGATGACACATCAAAAACTTCAAATCCACCCATCACTAATTCTACTATAGAGAGCAAATGATGTAATTTAGTTTATTGATCTGAATTTTGTTCTTAAATTGATAATATATTGATTCTTACACAGTTGCTAATTATTGATGGACAGCAGCTAAGAAGTGATCCAGCTACTGTGATGGATGAAGTGCAGAAATTTCTGGGAGTCTCACCTCATTATAATTACTCTGAAGCTCTAACGTGAGTCAGTTTCTTTACTCTCTTCCCTTGAGAACTGATAATTCATTATAAACAAAAAGCAAGAAAGCACAGGAAAAGAATATTACCGTTGGAAGTGAACCACTCCGAATTAGAACAACAGCATAACTAGATATGAGTGTTCAGGGTGCCAGGCTTGGGTTCCAATTAAGAGGGGGCAGAAGACTGATGGCTGCTGTCACTACAGAGGGTGCAAAAATTATTTGTCATACTTCTGTTAGGAACTGCTATTACTGAGGTTGTATAAGCAACCTTAATGTATCCACCTTCTGAATATACATTATGATATAGTTTTCAATTACGTAGAATCATAGAATAATAGAATCATAGAATCATAGACAATTAGGGTTGAAGGAGACCTCAGGAGGTCATCTAGTCCAACCCTTGGCTCAAAGCAAGACCATCCCCAACTAGATCACCACAGCTAAGGCTTTATCTAGCTGGGTCTTAAAAACCTCCAAGGATAAAGATTACACAACCTTTCTGGGTAACCTGTTCTGGTGGTTTACTATCATCCTCATCAGAAAATTCTTCCTAATATCTAATCTAAACTTCCCTTGCTGCAACTAGAAACCATTGCTCCTTGTTCTGTCATCTGCCACCACTGAGAAGAGTCTAACTTGATCATCTTTCAAACCTCCACTCAGATAGTTGAAGGCCACTATTAAATCTCCTCTCAGTCTTCTCTTCTCTAGACTAAATAAGCCCAGTTCCCTCAGCCCCTCCTCATAAGTCATGTTCGGGGGGGGTGCAAAACTGAACACAGTATTCCAGATGTGGTCTCACCAGTGCTGAATAAAGGGGAATAATCACTTACCTTGACCTGCTGGCAACACTCCTATCTGTGTAGCCCAGTATGCTGTTAGCCTTTTTGGCAACTAGGGGACACTGTTGACTCATATTCAGCTTATTGTCCACTGTAACCCGCAGGTCCTTTTCTGCAGAGCTGCTGCCCAGCATATCAGCCCCCAGCCTGTAACAGTACATGCGATTGTTCCTTCCTAAGTGCAGGACTTTGCACTTGTCCTTGTTGAACCTCATGAGATTTCTTTTGGCCCAATCCTCCAATTTGTCTAGGTCACTCTGAATCCTAGCTCTACCCTCCAGCTTGGTGTCATCTGCACCAAGTCATCTTGGTGACTTGCTGAGGGTGTACTCTGTGCCATATTCCAGGTTGTTGATAAAGTTATTGAACAAAACCGGCCCCCGAACTGACCCCTTCAGCACTCCACTTGATACTGGCTACCAAGTAGATATTGAGCCATTGATTACTATCCTCTGACCATTGATTACTATCCTCTAAGCCATTGATTACTATCCTGATGCTCCAGCCAGTTTTCTATTCACCTTAAGCCCATTCATCCAATCCTTATTTTCTTATCTTGCCAGTCAGAATTATTGTCCCAATCTTACATAGGAAGGATTTGAGACATAAAGTAAAAATTTCACTAACTTTGAGCATTCAATTTTATATGCCCAAAATCTGATTGGTCAGAATACATAGTATTACATAACAGTATGAATGTACAAAGCACCATTCCCATTGACTTTAGTTGGATCTGTGATTGCTCAGCATTTCTGCAAATCAAGTTTTCAAGTTAGGCAACTAAAGAGTGATGAACTCACCAATAGTGACCACCTTTGAAAAAAATGGGTTAACTAACTAGTCCAGCATCACCCAGGATGTCTATAGCAGAGGAAGGGTCTGAATCCAGCTTTGAGGATTCATTCGTAAAGCTTTTGTTTTTGTTGATGTTGTTTTGTTTGGTTTTGATGGGCAAAATAACATAATTTTTGGTATATTCATTCTCAAAGACAACTGAACAAGGTTTATGGAACTTCAAAAACAACCAGTCTCAGGTCATCACCCATTATTGACAATTTTTGACCAAATAATACAATTTTGGAAAAAGTATAAACAGCTGAAAACAGAGGAAATGTTAGATAAATCGTAACTATTGGTGGCACTGCTGCCCCCACCAATAATCTTGTTGCAAGTTCATCCTCCATCATGATACACAAAATCAATCAAAGGGATATTACCATTACTTACTATGTGTCTTTAGTACAGTGGGAATGTTCTGTTGAGTCTTTTCATTGACTTCAATGGTTTTCAATTAAAACTTTTGCATAAGTAGCTGCCATGAAATCAAAGCATGTCTTGGAAATGAAGTTATTACTATTACTATGATGAAGTTATTACTAACCTCTGCACCACTGTTTACATATCCTTTCATTGTACCCTGCTGAGAGTCCATCTGCTATCGGACTCCTTCTAATGCTGCACTAAGTGAAATTGCCCCCCTCCCTCCCACTCCAGCAGTAAATCAACAAGAAATTATTGTCCACTGAATACTTCCACACTGGGGAACTTCACTTAATCACAGGTATAGGTATAGGCATACTTGGAACCGAGATTAAAATGCTCTCAGGTGTAATATTTGCCGTGCATGCACCTAACAGAATACCAAATGTTTATGTTAACTTTAGGCCTTTTAATTAGCATATAATAAAAATGTATACACACAAATAAATGACTGGCTTAGTCTACATAACTCTATCTGTTTCTCCATTCTTTTCCAGTCTTCTCCTGTTCCCACATACATTACAGTCTGATAACTTACATAAGAGGGATGCATCAGGACCTGGGAGAACAGCTGTTCACCAGAGCTCCCCAAGGGATAACAAGATCTAATGGCCATAAACTCCAAGAAGGCTGATTTAGACTAGACATAAGAAAAAAGTTCTTTACTGTGCAAGTGTCCAGGGTCTGGAACAAACTCCCCCCAGAAGTGATACTGTCAAAAAACAGCTGGATATATTTCTTGCTGGGGTCACTTGATCCCTACTGACTTCTCGCCTATGGCAGGGGGGCTGGACTCAATGATCTCATGAGGTCCCTTTCAGCCCCTAATGTCTATGAAATCTATGAAATTTTGTTTCTCACTGCAAAGTTCCCTTCCTACAGTATTATTACAGAAGGAAGGTATAGGGCTGTACAGGCTCTGGAAAGGCTATGTATAGGAAAACAGAATTTTCTTTGTTAGTCATTGTCTTCTACAGGATCCTTTATATAGTCTGGATTTGGTGTAGAATTCTCCGTCCATTGCATCAAGTGAGAGTGGGAGGAGCAAACCTTATGTGAGAGCGATAACACAGGAAGTGCAGGAAGAAGCAAGGAGTAGAGTTTTCACTTTTCCTTGCAGTCTCTCTATATTTCCATGAGATGTGGCATTTGTGATGGTTCCTCATTAACCTTTTCTATAACAAACATACTTAGAGTAAATCAGATATGAGCCATTTCTGCATTTTTAATAAAAAGGTCTATTAACATATTATTTTTAATATATTTTTCATAGGCAAACAGTTCTATTATTTAGAATGCATTTTTGTGAGTCCTTGGTTCATACTGCAATTGCCAGACGTTTGAGTACCTATGTTGGCTACAAATGTTTGAAAGCTGCCATGGTACATCTTCAGTGCCTTTTATTATGTTATATATATATATTTTATTACACGTGAATAAAATCTTCACATAACCAAATTAAAGTCAGTGGCATTATACACCAAGGCTAAGTTTCATCTAGCACATTTATTTGAACTGGAAAAATGGGTTATAAACAGTTTTATGTAATTATACAATCACAGTTCAGAGACACTGAGAATGCAAATGTGTGGAGAAAATGTATAGGTATGCAAGGATTTAGGATGGAAGAAGAAACCGCATTAAACAATGTAGAGGCTTCATATTAGGATTGTCAAAATGAAATAGATTGGATGAGCTCTTTCGAGGCCTAGTCCATCTCTAGGCATCCAACACACATTTTTAAAACAGTAACATTGCAGCCTAAGAACCAAACCCAGCAAACACTAATGGGCACCAAGTTAATCAATTGGTTAAGGGCCTACAGACCAAGCCTTACAAGGAGAGACTAGAGAAACTGGATCTATTCAGCCTCCGCAAGAGAAGGTTGAGAGGCGACCTTGTGGCTGCCTATAAGTTCATCACGGGGGCACAGAAGGGAATTGGTGAGTATTTATTCACCAAGGCACCCCCGGGGGTTACAAGAAATAATGGCCACAAGCTAGCAGAGAGCAGATTTAGATTGGACATTAGGAAGAACTTCTTCACAGTTAGAGTGGCCAGGGTCTGGAACGGGCTCCCAAGGGAGGTGGTGCTCTCCCCTACCCTGGGGATCTTCAAGAGGAGGTTAGATGAGTATCTAGATGGGGTCATCTAGACCCAGCACATTTTCCTGCTTATGCAGGGGGTCGGACTCGATGATCTATTGAGGTCCCTTCCGACCCTAACTTCTATGAATCTATGAATCTATGAATCACCATGAGAAATTGCATGAAAATCTCAGGAGAGGCAGAAATATACCATGGTGCAGAGAGGGTAAGAAAAAGAGTAATGCAGCACTAAGTCCTACAAAAATCTTCAAAATAGGCTGTACATGAGACATAAGTGGTGCTTCAGCATCTGCGCAGAGGTAAATATCATCCAGTAGTTTAGTAATCAGCATACCAGTATGGAATTAAATCCTAACCTGTCAGCTTTCACTTGCACTTTCCCTTATTAGCCTAATGCATTGATAAAAAATAAAATTAACTAATGTTGTTAGTTATTTTTAAAATATTCTGTTTCTCAGATGGAAACTACTTTCAAAAGGCAAATGAAATGTTCTTGTTTTTCATGGGGTTAATTTCAGTATTTTCAGGGAGAGCTTTTCATCCCATCATCATGAACTATAGCTGAGGAATTAAAATTCATCAGATTCAGAATTTATAGCTAAGAGCCTTGGTTAAACTCACAAAAGTAATCACATTTTGAGCCAAATTTACAAAGCAGAGCAGGATGATAGAAAAGATTAATATATATGCACAGTTTCTGCTCCTATAAAAGTTCACATTTCAAGGTGCAAAAAAAGTGATTTGTTATACACACCATATAAATCTGGCATCCATAGTTGCCAGTTATT